ATCATATAAACAGGGAGAAATTCAAGATAAAATAAAGAATGAACATTGATGGAACACAAGTTAATTATAAAAAGTATAAGGGAAACTTATTATCAAACACAAAATAGTGTACTGATGCTATATTCAGAGTATCAAAGTTTGGATATAAACAAATCACAAAGAATTAATTAAAAAGTCTAAAAATGTAGAAAGGATAACATGCCAAGACTTAGAATGTCATTTGGAAAACTATTCAGACAGTTGATATCAGTTGCCAACAATTTTTCCCATTGAGTAAGAACATAAAGCTCTTGTATTACATACAAGAATTTATACAAAGATTCAGTTTGGACATTCAACTTGAAGCCAAGTTGATCAAATATTTGAAATGATTTGCTTTCCAAAGAAGATCAGTGATTTGGATTAAGTTTGAAAAAAAAAAATCAACATGCCAACTATTAATATTAATTTCATTCATTCATGAATTGAATTCATATAGACAAATACAAAGCTAACTGCAGAAAAAAAGAAACTGTGATCATCAGAGATTCTGATGCATCTGTTCATTATTAGAATAGCACAGGTAATCAGTTAAACATAAATTGAAGACAGAGACAGAAAAACGATTTTGTATCCTAGTTGGGATCTTTATTATATGGTTTTAATTCTATATCTGGAACAAGAAGGGCTCTAGGGACAATATGAGTAAATCAAAACCATAATGAGTTACAGGTTAATATCTTTGGGTCCATCTGGTGAGGACCATGAGGTATGGAAGGCTGTGATTTTTGAATATAAGAGGAGTAAATGTTAAAGAATAGATATAACAAGTGAAATGAAAGAAAAATAAGTAATATTGTTTATGGAGCTAAGAGAATAATTTACGATTTTAAAGGATAAGAAAATTGCTAGGCTATTTTTTCCAACTAAGCAAGTAAATATGTGGCAAATAGTGATGATACCTCATCAGTGTCTTACTAATCTGAGAGATCAACTGACAATATATTTAGCAACCATTATGCGAATGAAAATTCAAGTGCTGACTGTCTACCTTCTCAGAAGAATTTGACACCCCAGTAGACTGGACTCATGGGAGCAATAAACCCAGACTATAACAGCTTTGAAATGCTTTTATATATCTTTTATATATCTAGTATGTTTCCAAATGAAATATTATATTTAGTAAATGCAGTTACAAGGAATAAAAGTAGTGTCCAGTTTACCAGCTCTGCAACACTCCTATGGGTAGACTTTGGAAAGGGTAAGTAGATTGCAGTTTTTCTTCCAACTATGAATTGTTACTGTACATGCAAATAGCATGAAATGCCATTAGGGTATTTGGAGAAGTCTTCATGTCACCCATATCCAGGCCTCATTCTCTATTTTGAAAATGGCCTGTATTGGATAGAAAAGTATAGTTCTGTGAAGTTATAAGCTCTCTATTAATGGCTCAAAATGCTATCTATGTACTTGTATATGCATCTTTAAAGGGAATCTTCACTGGATTGACACAGTGAAATGGATTGTGTTGTGGGTGAATATTTTATATGGAACAGTACTATACCTATTAGGATGGTGGCCTTTTGGGAGTTGCTTCCAGTGTGGAATGAGAGTCTGGTGCTCTCCAAAAGTGAGGAGAGCTGCTGCAGCCTTTGAAAATCAGTTGGAAGTTGATTTCTGCTTGCCTTTTATCTCCCCAGATCAAAGGGAGATCTAGAGAGCCACATGGGCTCTGGACAGCAGTTCCTTCTAACTAACTGCCGAAATGGAAAAGTTTCTGCAGCCAGATTGAAAGTTGATCTGCGAGGAGCTGAGATTTTAAGTTCTAACACTCCCCATCTCTTAGCCACTTAAATAAATAATCAATTACAACTGAAGAGATAATCCCTTTTGCAGGAACGACTCGTGATACAAAAGGTTTCAGTGGATAAGGAAATACTATTTTTGCTCCAGTTTTATTTTTATTTTTGAAGAAAATGCTTTGATACAATTTGTTAGTAAGCTAAATAGAAAATCCAGGCATCAGAATTTCTGTTAATTATCTTTATAACAACTATAGTAGTACTATTATATATTCAAAAGCGTTCAGGTTCAACACTGCTGATTAATGAAGATAGAGATGGCTAAGTTAACCTCTTTGTTTAGGGAAAAACACAACCTACACTGCTCAAGAAAATAAAGGGAACACTTAAACAACACAATGTAACTCCAAGTCAATCACACTTCTGTGAAATCAAACTGTCCACTTAGGAAGCAACACTGATTGACAATCAATTTCACATGCTGTTGTGCAAATGGAATAGACAACAGGTGGAAAGCATAGGCAGTTAGCAAGACATCCCCAATAAAGGAGTGGTTCTGCAGGTGGTGACAGACCACAGACCACTTCTCAGTTCCTATGCTTTCTGGCTGATGGTTTGGTCACTTTTGAATGCTAGTGGTGCTTTCACTCTTGTGGTATCATGAGATGGAGTCTACAACCCACACAAGTGGCTCAGGTAGTGCAGCTCATCCAGGATGGCACATCAATGCGAGCTGTAGCAAGAAGGTTTGCTGTGTCTGCCAGTGTAGTGTCCAGAGCATGGAGGCACTACCAGGAGACAGACCAGTACATCAGGAGATGTGGAGGAGGCTGTAGGAGGGTAACAACCCAGCATCAGGACCGCTATCTCCGCCTTTGTGCAAGGAGGGACAGGAGGAGCACTGCCGGAGTCCTGCAAAATGACCACCAGAGGGCTACAAATGTGCATGTGGCTGCTCAAATGGTCAGAAACAGACTCCATGAGGGTGGTATGAGGGCCCGACATCCACAGGTGGGGGTTGTGCTTACTGCCCAACACCGTGCAGGATGTTTGGCATTTGCCAGAGAACACCAAAATTTGCACATTCGCCACTGGCGCCCTGTGCTCTTCACAGATGAAAACAGGTTCACACTGAGCATATGTGATAGACATGACAGGGTCTGTAGACACCGTGGAGAATGTTCTGCTGCCTGCAACATCCTCCAGCATGACCGGTTTGGCATTGGGTCAGTAATGGTGTTCAGTGGCATTTCTTTAGGAGGCCGCACAGCCCTCCATGTGCTCACCAGAGGTAGCCTGACTGCCATTAGGTACCGAGATGAGATCCTCAGATCCCTTGTGTGACCATATGCTGGTGTGGTTGGCCCTGGGTTCCTCCTAATGCATGACAATGCTAGACCTCATGTGGCTGGAGTGTGTCAGCAGTTCTTGCAAGATGAAGGCATTGATGCTATGGACTGGCCCGCCCGTTCCCCAGACCTGAATCCAATTGAGCACATCTGGGACATCATGTCTCGCTCCATCCACCAACACCAAGTTGCATCACAGACTGTCCAGGAGTTAGGGGGTGCTTTAGTCCAGGTGTGGGAGGAGATCCCTCAGGAGACCATCTGCCACCTCATCAGGAGCATGCCCAGGCATTGTAGGGAGGTCATACAGGCACATGTAGGCAACACACACCACTGAGCCTCATTTTGACTTGTTTTAAGGACATTACATCAAAGTTGGATCAGCCTGTAGTGTTTTTTTCCACTTTAATTTTGAGTGTAACTCCAAATCCAGACCTCCATGGGTTGCTAAATTTTATTTCCATTGATAATTTTTGTGTGATTTTGTTGTCAGCACATTCAACTATGTAATGAACAAAGTATTTAATAAGAATATTTCATTCATTCAGATCTAGGATGTCTTATTTTTGTGTTCCCTTTATTTTTTTGAGCAGTGTATATTTATGATTGAATGAAAACTCCTTATAGACTTTTTCTATGAAATAGGAAAAAATCACTTACAATTTGTGGTTTTGATGATAAAAAATGAATGATATAAAAAAGGATTTTTGGAATCATCAAACAAGAAATAATTTTGTAAATATACTTAAATTTGATGCAAAAGAAATAGGAACTATTTTTTTCTTTTAGCACTTTTACTTTTCTTTTTTACTGCTGTATTTATTAGTTTGTTAGTTTTTAGTTGTTTTGTAAAACTTGAATAAATAGAAAAAAAATGTAGTTCAAACCGCAGAGTAATGGTTTAACTCAGAAAATAATTTTTTAGTGTTGTAGACCTGATTTTATAATTTTTACATGGAATATTTAAACTATTCAACTGAAAAACCTCTGATTCTCTAAATATATTTCCCTTTCTGATGAGAGAAAAGTAGCTTCTTATTTATAGATATTTATGAAAATCCTGTTATATGAAGGAGGCTGTGTCAATCCTTCCTACTTATTTCAAAAAATGAGTCATAAATGAGAGGTAGTCAGTGGCAAGCAAAAAATGCAGCATTGAAAAGTCTCTGAAATTTAATACTTAAAGACACAAAAACAGGCAACTTTTTCAACCAGTTAGCATATTTGGCATTTTTGGAGCATATTGTGGATGTTGTCACACAGTGGCTATCACGAAGGAGTTGCATGTTCGTAGAATAGTTGTTAAGGAGAGGGAAAAAATACATATTCTTCCTCAATAGTTCTCTAGAAGATACATCCTAATGTCCCACCTATTGTTATGATCTTGATGGTGAAGTAATTGTCAGGTAAAGAGGACCAAAATAAGTTACTCAGGATACAAATAATCCTGGCCCCAGTAGGTCTAGAGAGGTAACATTAGACCCCAATTCTTGTGACACTCACAGTGGTAATTCAGACTTTGAACCAGAGTTTTAGCTACCCAAACAAAAGGAATAATGACATCTTTGCAGAATTAAGAGATAGGGAAAGGTGGATTGCTTAGTTACAAAGAGAAGGACTTGGTCAAGCAGTTATATTTGGGAATAGCCTAATGCTGCAAATCAGAATTAATAATAGCCTTTAGTTTTCAGGAATAGCCTAAGAGCTCTAGGTTTCACCTTTGTGCCATCCCAAGTTTGAACAAAACTCTTCAATCGTTTCATCTTACATCCCTTATTGTAGGCTTTTCTGAAGTTTTTCTGGGGACATCAATCTCTAATTCCATCTCGAGTCTAACAATTAAGAGAATGAATGTACATAAAATTGGAGAAAAGTGGGAATCTAGAGCAGGGCTGTCAAACTCACAGCCCTCTGGTCAGATGCGTAATGTGCTAGCCACGCCCATGCCCAGTTTAGCAAAGGGTGAAAAAGTCTGATATGTCATGTGATTATGCAAGTTTGACACCTCTGATCCAGAGGTTCAGTCAAACTGCTCCAAGCCAACCCCAGTTTAGGCGCTACCAAAACCATAAATATTTTATTTGGTCTGAGTTTCAGATAAAACAAAATCTAGATTGGTATATACAGACATGGCAACATCATTTTATCTGCTATCTCTACAGCTTCTAGAAGGCGGCTTGTTTTTTCCCCTAGAAAATTCATATGAAATCACAATCACAAAAAAATTCTTGGTGGCTCATAAACCCCAAAAGACATAGGTCACTGAAGTGTCAGCCTCTTAGCCTTTTTAGTGCTTTCTTTTCCCACTCAACTGTTATTAATGTCTCAACACATTATACGAAAAAAACAAAATAGCAATGAATCAACTAGAAGGTGTTCAGATATCTCCACCTGCCATACCATCTGGGTTTTGTGTGTGTACATTGAGTTGCATTTAGCAGAAAAGTTTACTGGGTACGAATAAAATGTTTATTTCAAGAGCCAAGTTTTATGAGATACTGGCTGTGTTATAATTTGATTCTATTTAAATGCAAACATAAAAAAACCAGAAGGCAATTGAATGATGAAAAATTGTTGAGCCTTAGTACTGTGCAATATTCTGCTTCTTTTTCCCCACTTGTGCTTTTATTCCAGTGAGTATACATTTTTCGTTGTTTATTGTTATTGGTTCAAAATTTACACAGCTGTACTTATAAACTTGTCATGGTACCTGATGTTGAATTGTTTATCTTGATTTAAGTAAAGAATTAGTGCAAAAACATTTGACCTAAGTTTCAAAAGAGGTTTCAGCAGTAGATTCAGCAGTGGCCAACCTACTTTATCTTTCACTATGCAGATTATGAAAATGTTATGCATTTCTTTACATGTCTGTTATTTTTATTTTTTCTTAAGGATCCGGTTAAATGACCAAATCATAGAAGTAGACGGAATCAATATGGTTGGTGTCTCACAAGATTTTGCTTCGACAGTTCTTAGACGTTCCAAAGGAAGAGTCAGGTAACATTTTCTAGGAAATCATGGAAAAGAAGTGTTAAATTTAATGCAACTATGTCACTGTGCAATAACACAAATAGCATAATCCAAATAAATGGAGTGAAAACAATTAACATTTTCAAAAAACCCTTTGCCTTAATATATCTATACTTAATGTAAGTATATTAAATATTATTCTACTGGTTGTTACCTCACAGTGTGAAACAGATGGCCCTTGCTTAATAACCACTCATTAAGCACTGTTTAAACTTATGACAGTAAGGTAAACCATCACACCGTCTTTCTGCCCATCACAGCCTCCCTGCAGTAACATGACCACAATCCAGACATTCAGCAACTGGCTTGAAATTATGATTTGCACTCTCTCATATTGTGAAGATGGATAATACGTATTGTCTTTCTCACTTAGTCATCTGTGTGAATTTTTAATTCCCCTGCAGTGTTCGTTTCTAAGCATTTGACTTTCCTTGGTTAGAAGAGTAAGGATTTCTATTACTTTTTAAAATTTTCCTTTAAAAAAATTAGACATACATGTAGTCCTTGATTTATGACCACAATTGAGCCCAAAATTTCCATTGCTAAGCGAGACAGTTGTCAAGTTGCCCCATTTTACAATCTTCCTCATCACAGTTGTTAAGCAAATCACTACATATACCGTGTTTCTCCAACAATACGGCCTCCACCAATAGGAAGACCCAGCATGTTTTCTAGGCATAAAATCAAATTAAGCCCCTCCCCCCAAATTTAGGCCTAGTTTAAAACATGCAAAATAGGGGGAAGGGTGGGGGGACTTGCCATTTGGAGTGCCGTTGGAGCTACCACCGCCATTTGGAGTGCCCTTGGAGCTGCTGCCGCCGTTTGGAGCTGCCTCTGCCGTTTGGAGCCGCCGCCGCCATTTGGAGCTGCCTCTGCCATTTGGAGCCGCCGCCGCCGTTTGGAGCTGCCTCTGCCGTTTGGAGCCGCCGGCGCCGTTTGGAGTGCCGCTGTCACGTTTGGAGCTGCTGCTTCCGTGTTTGGAGCTGCCGCCGTGTTTGGAGTGGCGGTGGTGCTCCAAACAGCGATAGTGCTCCAAACGCGGAAGCGGCAGCTTCAAACGGCGGCGGTGGCTCCAAACGGCGGCAGCAGCTCCAAACGGCAGAGGCAGCTCCAAACGGCAGAGGCAGCTCCAATGGTACTCCAAACAGCGGCGGCAGCTCCAAATGGCGGCGGTGGCTCCGCTTCCGTGTTTGGAGCTGCCTCTGCCATTTGGAGCCGCCGCCGCCGTTTGGAGTGCCGCCGTCACGTTTGGAGCTGCCGCTTCCGTGTTTGGAGTGGCGGTGGTGCTTCAAACAGCGGTAGTGCTCCAAACGCGGAAGCGGCAGCTTCAAACGGCGGCGGCGGCTCCAAACGGCAGAGGCAGCTCCAAACGGCAGAGGCAGCTCCAAACGGCGGCAGCAGCTCCAACGGCACTCCAAACGGCAGTGGAATGGGCAGAAGGGAAAGCAACAGAGGCAGGTGCCAAAGGTCTTGGGTCTGCAGCAAAGGTGTTTGGTGGGAGTAGGGAGCTCTCTGCGCTTCGCCATGATCGCCCCTTAGGAGCAGCTGGTGGCGAGGCTGCCCGCGGGGGGCTCTAGATGAGGATGAAAGGGGGGAAATTAAGTTACCCCCCGAAAAGACGGCCTAGCCGTTTTTTCGGGGCTCAAAAAAAAATAAGGCCCGGCCTTATTATGTGAGAAACACGGTATTAAATTAGTAATATGATTATAAAGTGAATCTGGTTTCCCCATTGACTTTGTTTGTCAGAAGATTGAAGAAGGTTACCATTACTCTTTATGTCACAACATCATAGGTTTGTGTGACATGTTTATTATTAGAGGCGCAGTGGTTAGAATGCAGTACTGCAGGCTACTTCTGCTGATCACCGGCTGCCAGCAGTTTGGCAGTTTGATCCTGACCAGCTCAAGGTTGACTCAGCCTTCCATCCTTCTGAGGTGGGTAAAATGAGGACCCAGATTGTTGGGGGCAATAGGCCTGACTCTGTAAACTGCTTAGAGAAGACTATAAAAGCACTATGAAACGTTATATAAGTCTGACCATTTGAAGTTATAACAGATACTCAACGTTACTTACGATCTAGTTTTGAAGTTTCCATGTTGCTGCCCCCCCCATCTGCAGTCATGTGACAACATTTGGGGGCTCTGAAACCAGCTCCCAAATGTTATGGCCATTTGTGGCAGTCACCCTGACTACAATTTATGATGGTTTTGCTGAAAACTGGCAAACCTCCCCCCCCCACCATATTTCATAGTGAAAAATGGCTTTCCTTTATGACTTTGTTTAATGATTGCCACACAAAAAAGATAATAAAATTGGTCCTGGTAACATGATGACCTGCTAAATGACATAATTGCCAGGCTCAGTTATGGTCATAACTCGAGGATTACGTTTACTGTGTAAAAACAGTTTTCTAATTTTGATGGGCATGCAAACAACCTCAGGATTAGAAAGGTAAGTGAAAACTACGTACTCTTTTGTTCCTGTTTTGGGATGTATCTTTGTGTGCAGCTTCTTGCATGGTCCTTTAGCCCTATATGCCATTTTGAATGTTGTTATTCAAAGTGTTGTTTCAACAGTTTCTCCTTTACTGCATAGAACAGTCAGATACAGCTATCCAGTTAAAAGGGCTTTGACCTCTTAATACAGTCACTATTCTTTTCAAAAAAAGTCCATAGTCCTAAACCATTAAGGAAAAAAAAATACACAAATTGATATACTAAAGGTATATCATGTGCTCACTAAAGGTACTTAAATTTGCAGATAGTAGTGGCACCTCTGCTGCTTAAGAGAATCTAATTTGTAAATTTGTTCTGCATCAAGAATGTAAATGATTTGCTATCCCTCATTTAAAACAAATTCAGTATAACTCAGTAGCAAACAACAATGCAGTGTAAAATATCTTCTTTAAACAAAAGGTTTGGGCTTTGATTATGCCGTATTTGATAAAGTGAATATTAGTCCACAAATGTTTAAAGCATATTAGTTGTAAGATGTTCCACTATTGTTTTCTATACGTGGATATTTAGTAACCAAGAGAAGAGGGGAGAAATTATCCTTGTTCATTTATGTTCTCCTCAGGTTTATAATAGGCAGAGAAAAAGCAGGACAAGTAAGTGAAGTGGGTAAATTGATTAAACAGACCATAGAGTATCACCAGCGCCAGAGAGGCCACCATTATGCACATTATGAAGCAGATGATGATGACGACGAGGTATCCTGTTCATTCCTTCCTTATTTATTTATATTTTATTCTTTCTACTTTAACATTTTTGGTAGTTGCAACTGGAAATAATACCTTCTTCCAAAGTTGACTATTTTACTATTTTCTGATTCTTTTTTGAAGTCAAAAATTGAGAATCCAGGATTAATTATTTTTAAAAGCTTCTAGCTTTCACTCTAGTGACCATTGCAAAAAAGAAGAGGTAGGGATCCCCAATCTTGAAGCATATAAATGAATAATTCACACTTAGGTAATAAAGTTATTGTGAAGTAATATTAAGAATTGCTTTACTTCTCATCTAGAACTGTTCTAGAAGGCTCCACATTCCTTACAGATTTTCTGATTTTATTTGCTGTTAATTGTTTAGATTTACTTGTCTGGCGATTTTTATTTTTTTTTTGGCAGTAAAACCAATTTACAATTAAAGTATTTTAAAATTTGTTTAAAACAAATTGTTAATAAAAATGAATTGAATTCCAAGACAGAGGAATATGCTACTGACGAAGATGAAGACTTTGGGGCAGCATATCCAAGAGGCCAAAAAACTGTTCACTTCATTGAATGTCCTGAAAATAATGACATGCTTTCTCCAGAAGAAATAGAGAGATTGGCTGAAAAATTTAGAGAGGTAAGCTAGAGAATTAGAAGTAGATAGAAATGATAAAAGCTTGTATTCGGGAATCTATGAAATGCATCATCTAGTCGTGATGCATTTCATAGATTCTTCCAGGTTTTGCTGCTTCTTTAGAACATGTCTGCTTAAACAATTGCACTAATATTTTTAGAGAATTAATATGTACTAGAAAATTTAAATCTGGTCTGGCTAAAAAACTGAAATGACATATATATTAAATCTTTAAGGAGAAATGACTTCACTAGGCATATCCTAATCTTATATTTAGAGAGACTAGCTAGCAAGACCTTTTCTTTAATTAGGTTGCATAGACTGAGTTATTTTTCAGATTAGATATTTTAATTTATCTTCTTCTGCAACGCAGTGTTCCCACTGCAAGTGCAACAAACCTGAGATAGACAGACATATCTCACAAGACGCATGCATGCACAAATATATGTATATAAGAATAATGGCATTTGCAGCTGACTTGTTTGCTTTGTGGTTTTGCATTTTTAGTTGCAAATCCAGTATGCAGTTACAGGAACAGAGGTTAAGCAGCTAAAAAGAAAGGTAAGGATGGTTACCACCATCAAATGACAATATTCCTACTTTCAGATGGATTAAAGGGGAGGCAAAGAAAAGTTCTTTTCAGAAAGAAATGACAAGAAAAAGTAATAGCCTTAGCTGATTTAGGAGAAATTGTGTTATAGAAACAAGAAGGCCAAATTAAGCCCCAAAATGTCTAAGTGGACATTTATTGAGTTTTGCTCTGTTTTATTATCTTTTTTTTTTTTTTGCCATAGCTATAGAATGAATCACAGCTGTTGTTAAGTTAGTAACACAGTTGTTAAGACAATCTGGCTGCCCCATTGATTTTGCTTGCCAGGAGGTGGCAAAATGTGACTCTGGGACACTGCAACCATACTGAGTAAGTTGCCAAGCTTCTGAATTGACTATGGGGATGCTGTAATTGTTGTAAGTGCCATAAGTCACTTTTTCCAATGAGTTTGTAACTTCAACTGGTCACTAAATGAACTGTTGTAAGTCTAGGACTACCTGTATTCGAACCTCTGTGAGCTGCAGATATTATTATTACTGCAATATTACTAATTACTGCATCCACATGCTACATTTTTATTTCTTTCCCTATCAAAATCATTAACACCCTGAAAGGAAATTATAAAGCATTTGTTTATTTTTGTATTTAAAAAAAACATGTATGTTTTTAAATATATTATTTTGTCATTTAACAAGAGACTTTTAAATCACTTTAATAATCCATGTTACTTCTAAACTGCTTTAGGAGACTTTAATTTTTCCTGCTTTGATCAAATATTACATTTTAGAATCAAACCCATGTCAATTTATCTATCTTGATGAACATCCAGATGTCTTTATGTTATTATCTTTGATTTTATATTTAAATTCAGAATGAAACCACAATGTTTATAGCATTTGAATTGTGCCCAATAATTTTTGGAGCTCTAATTTTAAATGTATTCACACATCTCTTATAATTCTGTAATTTCTTTAGAAGCAAATGCTAGACATGAAATTACTGTTAAAAATAAATTGTTCCTTAGTGTGAAAGAACATAGAATTGGAACAACATCATACATAACATACAAAATGCTTTGAACCTAGTATTAATGTAGTAAATGTAGTAGGCCTGAAGTTAAGACCACAATTGAGGCCCACATTTCTGTTGTTAAGTGAGACATTTTTAAAGTGAGTTTTGCTCTATTTTATGAGATTTCTTGCCACAGTTGTTAAGTGAATCACAGCAGTTGATAAGTTAGTAGCCTAGTTGTTAAGTGAATCTGGGTTCCCCATTGACTTTGCTTGTCAAAAGGTTGCAAAAGGTGATCATGTGACCTTGGAACATTGCAATGATCATAAATTGAACCAGTTGCCAAGGATCTGAATTTTGATCACATCATCATGGGGATGCTGCAAAGGTGGTAACTTTGAAAAATAGTCATGCCACATTTTTCAGTACCGTTGTAACTTTAAATGGTCACTAAACATTGAGGACTACCTGTACATCAAATTTAATTTCCTTAATAACTGTTATCAATAGTTTTCATAAATGTTTCTTTAAGCACTTACATGCTATATTTTTAACTACAGACATCTACGTAGTGCATGAGTAAATAGGCATAAAGTAGTACTGTTAACATGGTATCAGCAAACTTCATCAAGCATTTATTTCTAAAAGTTTTGGAACTATAACTTTAAAAAAATTCTCAGTTGCAATGGTCAGTGGGAATCTGAGAGTTTTAATATCAATAAACTGGAGGCCAACAGATTGCTGAAGATTATTTGTTTGTTTGTTTGTTTGTTTATTTATTTATTTGGTTTAATAAACCTGTTTCATTCCAAATATTTTGGAACTGTAATTGTCAACTGAAGTCTGCAGAACTAAAAAAACATGAGGGGGAACTGTTCTAATTATTGTTATTCTACACAATAGTAGACATATTCCCAACCTTCTTTCCAAGTCAATTAACCTGCATAAATCTGTAACTTAATTTACTCCAGCTGGAGATTGCTGAAAATGAGAAACTCAGATGGCAGGTGGAAAGGAATTTACTTCAGCAGAGCATTAAGGAAAACAAGGAAAGGATGGCGAAAATTGAGTCTTATTGGGTTGAAGCACAGACTCTGTGTCATAATGTAAATGACCACTTGAAAGATTCACAGGACCAATATCAGGCCTTAGAGAAGAAATATAACAAAGCTAAGAAAGTGATTAAGGATTTTCAACAAAGGTAAGCTATATCCTTGTGCTTAGTCAGGAACCAGACTGTATAAGGAGAAGCAGAGAACAATATAACTGTTAAGCTTGATTGAGGGAATGACTAATTCGGATCTTGGCTCAGCTATGAATTATATGGTTGACTTTGGGCAGCCCTAGCCCTCTGCCTAATTTTCAGGGGGTTTGTGAATGTAATATGAGGTTATACCATATATGTGGCACCCTAAGCTTCTAGAAAAAAGGCTGAATATTAACTGTTCTGTGAGACATTTCACCTGATAACATTTGTAAGGTTATAGCTAAGAGATTTTAAAATGAAGAACAGATTGGGATATAAACATCCAAATTTGATTGATCAAATAGTGCCTGTATGCTTAAAGCCTTCTAAAATGTATATGACCATTTAAGCTAAATTTACAAATTTATACAATATACCAAACAGGTTGATATATAGCTTTTGAAATATTTAAACATATTCTAAATGATTAACACTAACTGAAAATTTAATGCATTTATATCACAACTTTCCTGTGGAGCAACTGTACGACATACTTTTAATAACATTGATTTTCCTTCGTTGTTTTCTGATAGTGCTAATTAACCATTTTTCATAAAGGATAATCTGAAATGCTATTTCAGTGCACTCAGTAAACAAACAAATACCTTTCCACCTTTTATTGTTCCGTAGTTATTATAAGATTAGTATTAAACTTCTTTATCAGCAGAAATTCTCTGAGAAACTACAAACTAAAGTACACTGCTTCAGCAAGTTGATTCAGTATTTATCACCATTCAAAGATTGCTCTAACCAGTAAATATGTTTTTCCCTAAAGAGAACTTGAGTATATCCAGTACCATGATGATGACAAGAAAAAAATTGAAGATCTGGAAAAAGATCACTTTCTTGAAGTTCAACATTTACAAACTCGGGTAAAAAACTTTGTGACTTTTATTTATTTTGGAAGCATTATTAATTTGTTATAATTTAGATACAAAGGGCAGATTATACATATTTTAAATAAATGACAACATTGTAGTACTATAAGGCATGGAGATTATCCCTGCATTAAAACAGGGACTTAAAGCAACCCTCATGAACTGAAGTATTGATAGATGTTTTGTTTATTTGCCTCAAGAAAGCGAAATGTCACAAATCCTTTCCTAACAGTTGCATATATTTCTTTCAGATTAGAGGACTTGAAGCAGAAGTGTTGAGGCTGCTGAGGCAAAATGAGTCTCAGATAAACAACAATAACAGCATTTTTGAACCACAGTCTTCTGTTGAAGACTCTTCAAAAGGAGATACAACAGAAAAGCTTGATGGAATGGAAATATCTGGCCTGGCTACCTTAGATCAAGGTTTGTCTGAATCTGAATCAGATGAGGGTCTTGTTACTACTGTGTGATACAATCTTGGAATGATTATTTTCAGAATGTAATAAATGTTTTGCTGAACATGTCAAATAATGTTATATAAAAAATACCTGTAAGGTGTATAACTGCATTTTTTTGTTTGATTTTATATCTGATTTGTTTTCTCTATTATGTTAATGAACACATTAACAAAGAGTTTGCAGACTCTTATATGTTTTACATTTCTTATTCCAAGGTGGAAAATGCAGTGACTTATGTATTTGTAAAAATAAACCAAAGACTTGTGGAACAATATAGACACCTGTGTGTTTATGTGTGCAGAGCAGGGGTGGACATCTCTATTTGGGCAAGGAATCGTACATGACATGAATTTCTCTTTCTATTATGTTGAAAATACTGGGTTGTAAACTGGCTAGAGTTTGGTTCAAGATCAGCAACTATATAAATGTTTTAAATAAATAAAAAACATTTATCATATAATAGTCAGCTGCAAAAGAGCAAAGGGAGCCTTTAGTAGCATTGTTTATATAGTCACTCCAGTGTAGAAACAGATGGAAGAGAGGTATGGCTGCATTTAATTTATAGCAACAAACCCAAGTATAGGTGTATTTAATTTAAAAAATGGTGGAGTCAGACTCTAGAAGATAAAAAAATAAGATACCGCTGATTTTCAGTGTAGTTTTGGCAGATCCAGAATTACAGATTGACAGAGTTGGAAGGGACCATGTAGTCCAACCCCCCCCCCCAAAGCAGGAAACCCTATGCCATTTCTGACAAATGGCAGTCCAATCTCTTCTTGAAAGTCTCAAGTGATGGAGCTCCTATAGAATTAAATCTATAATCTAAAGATTTACCTGTATTCCCATACACACATGAACTTTAGGTTGTATAAATGCTATCCCATTTATATAATTAATACTTGTAGTGAAAGCACCTTTTTCATTTACATAAACCAAATTTTTCTAGAGTAAAGTAGCTATTTGGTAATGTGTTTCAGATAGAAAATAGGTTTTCTGACTGTCATTGTATATATTAGCTTTTTTAAAATCTCTTTTTAGAAGATATTTATATTTTAAAGATAGGGTATAACAGGATATTGGCTAATAGGTCTCCTGTGCATGTTTGCAGAAGGAACTTTAAAGGGGGTTGATCCTGATAAGGTGTTTGGTAAGTTTTTTTCTAGAGCACATGATCTAATGTTCAGTGTAGAAGTATGTCCATTATGACAGCTGATGTAATACGTCTCCTGTCTGCTAGAGCTTTCCACTAGTGTTATAAATGTGTAATGGATGCTTAATTATGGGATCATATCCTTATCCCATAATACTCATAAGTAGTGTGGCAAAATAAATAATGTGAAAACATATGTTGTAGATCCATTCCATTTGGCTGTTGCACATTTATATATGTACTTCATAGCCTGTACAACCTTGTGAACATGTTTTGTTATACCCACTCATATGCTGGTTAAATATATGTATGCAGACATGACTTCTGACTTCTTGCTATTTCCTGATCAAAAAGTTGGTTTCCATTTCGGAAATCAACATTGTAGAAAGATGACACTGCTATGCTAACCAGTGTTTTGTAATAAAACATCCTGATCTTTATGTGATTAAATATTGCGAAGAGTCATTATCAAATGCATAGGATCAGACTCTTGATACATTAACCATATTGCCAGTATACAGAATGCTACAACTATACATCACCAAAAGTATGAAATGCTTTTTAGGAAAGAACTGCACACAATCAAGAGTCTTTTTTCAACCTTGCCTAACTCTGTGGGGCTTCCTGAGTCATATCATGATATAACTAAGGTAAAAGGCAGTTATTGCAAGAGCAACTTCTTTAAATATATAAAATTCAAACTATATAATTCCTCTTTTGTCCAGAAGGAATACATTTTATAAAGTTTTCTATTAGAATTGCCAGTTGGCACTTTTTCCATGTAGATAAAAATATTGTCCTCTAACCTGTCTAAGGTTAGAAACAAAAGAAGATGTTCATTAAAAGAAGTTTTGATTTTTACTTCAGAGAAAAAGGAAAGTATAGGATATAGAGTTTCTATTGATCATTTGTTACATAGAGGATTCTTTTAAATTTGAGTCTATAACCACATTCATATAGGTTGGCTTTGTCAGACTTAAGTAAATAATTAAGTAAGGTATAGAAGAAGGCTTCAGTCAAGTCATTTACCTTTTAACTGCATTGATATCACTTTTTAATGCTTCTACATACCTGCCCTGTTCAGTAAATCAGAATAAGTTTCATCTTCCATTAAACTTGACAGTTTATAACATAGGAATTCAGCTAGCAAATTCATATTTCATTGGTTAAATGATATACAGAAGTCTTTCTTTTGCTTTTCAATATTATGAGCAAACAAAGTGAAAATGCTTCTTGGCAAGACATTTCTTCAAAAATATAATAGTGATAGGGCACTGAGAAAGTGTCTTATTGTATATAGCTAAAAATAAAGATACAATTGATTCAAGCTTAAGTCTTGATAACTCTATCCAAATAGTTTTCTTGGCAGCCTTATTCAAGTGGTTTTCATTGCCTTTTTATCAATAGGCCTTGACTTTCCAAGTGGTTCCCCATCCAAGTACTAAGTAGGACATAACCTACTTAGCCTCTGAGGGCCATAAAGCTCATATAAGTACTTATGCCTTACCTTAGATATAAAATGTTAGCATGAATTACAATACAATATACCCATGCCACTAAAGCCTAAAGTTGGACAATTCAATTATGTTCCTATTATTGCTTTGTTTCATAAATTTTGAAAAAATCTTTTGTATTGGAAATAAAGAATATGATAAGTCATATGATAAGACAAGATTAAAACTTGTCTTGTTGATGTAAAGTCTTTCCTAAGTGCAACTATATTTTCCATTATAGCATTGTTGGGGGCAATATGCTGACTCTGTAAACCGCTTTGAGAGAGTTGTAGAGCACTATAAAGCGGTATATGAGTCTAAGTGCTATTGCTATTATAACAAATACTTTCATTATGATTTTTGGTAATTTCCCCCACTTTTACAGCACCAGTTGGGAAAGACTATTGTACTCATATTATATATACATATAAGTGTACATGTACACATATACATACACACACACACACACACACACACACACATATGTATATATGGTATTGTGAAACATTTATGGTTATGTTGATTGGGTGTATTTTGTGTCAAGGTTTGCTTTGTGCTTGTGTGGTTGATACCTATGAAAAGCACTGAGTAAATAAGTTAATAAGACAAAACCCAGCACACTTTACCTCTAGTTAATCCACTGAGTTTCTGCTCTGCTTTTGCGTGCTAATAGTCTTCTCACACTCTGAACTGGTTGCTATCAAGTATGCTTGGGATCTAATCCTCCATCCCATATTTAAAAAGATTCAATCCATGGCTTTTCTGCACAGAATGAAAGAAGGAGATATTTTATCAGATATCAAAACTTTCAGCCAGCCCTGGTTGAAGTGAGATGCATTTTGTGACAAATCTTAAGAAGAAGGTTTGAGGAGAAGAAAAATATTTCTCTTCGACTTATACAGTAGTTGCATCAGAGTAAGATGCAAGCAACCAAAACAGCTCCAATGTTAGGTCAAGAAGTTTGTTTTTAGATTCATCAGCTCACAAGAATTTTTCCAGACTGTTTGTCTTTCCTTGAGAAGCGCTTGTTATAGTCCTAAGTATTTGGTCTTCCATTTACTTCCTTCCTGTTTGGAGTCCAAGTTGCAATATTTCTTAACTGCCCCTACTGGGGCCTCTTTGCTTTCAGTCATTGATTCCACCACAAACCAAAGTGGAGAAAATTAGATTTTGATTTCATATATTTACATAAGTACTTTGAAATGCATATAAATGCATGTATATATCAAAAAATTATCCGGACCTGAGGAGCATGCCAGGGTCAAAGAATCAAAACTAAAATGTGGAATGTGGGCAAAAATTTCATATTACATAACTTGAAACAATTCACAATTCCACTGTTCACAGTTCTCAGTTCATATTTGTTGAGCATTTCAAAATTAACATGGAGAAAAAATAATGTGTTGGTTTCTTACATTACTTTTTTGGTATTGCTAGCCACAACCTCACAGTTCTGCTCTATAAATCTATAGGACTTTGAAACATTAATTCTAGGATAGGGAGAGGAATCCATTGACTATGAGAGACAAGTTGATGCCATCTTCAAAATCTGAATCTTATAGGTCTCCCATGCTCCCATTCTCTAACATCCTTGGAGCTGAACTATATCTTCTCTTACTTTTTTTTTTTGCCTGCCTGCCTGCCTATCTATATATATAGTCATCTATGTATCTGTCTGTCTGTTTCTCTCTCTCTTGTCTGTCATCCATTTATTTATCTATCTATCTATCTATCTATCTATCTATCTATCTATCTATCTATCTATCTATCTATCTCATCATAAAATAAAATAATAAAATAAATAAATAAAACATTACCAGGCTTGCAACCAATTAAAACAAAGTTAAAACATTAAATAATAAAGTAATAAATACTAACATTAATATTATTTAAAGTTAACAAAGATTGCAAGGAAAGGAACAAGATGCACAGAGTAGAGCAGGGGTGTCAAACTCGCATTGTCATGGCAGCGTCACATGACATATTGGGACTTTCCCCTGCCCTTTGCTAAACCAGGTGGGGGCAGGGCCAGCATGTGACTTATCCAGCCCATGGGCATCGAGGTTGATATCCCTGGGGTAGAGCATAGAGGTGGTTACATTACTTATTGCTGTGTGGAAAATAATTCTGTGTAAGCCGTATGCTTAAAAATCCATATTTATTTTTTATAGCACTCCTGTTTTAATTCTGCAGCTAAATATACTTTTAGAATATCAGCACTGATAAGGAAGGGAAAGGAAAGTGAATAATTGATGGAAGAAAGAAAGAACACAGTACTGAAGGAAAATATGCTTTTCATTACTTTTTTGGGGTGTCACTTTAAAAATTTGCTTTTCGTCACTTCTATTCTTTATTTATTCTTGTATTAAATAAAAAACAACCCCAGACTTGAATGGGATTACCTAACACAATAACCAATCTCCAAACCAAACTAGCTCTATAGCAATATATGACTATTTCATAGCCCAAATTATCACTTTTTTTTTGCTTTGCTTTGTCATTAAAATAACTAGTCATGTGGTTATCATTACATGCTCATTGATACCTACATTTACTAATTAATTCTGTCAATAAGGCTTGGGAGTTTGCAAAAAAAGTAAAAATGACCTAGAATGAACCTAAAACACTTTTTATAGAAGTTAGTTCCTGAATCTCTTGGATAAATGAAGAAAAATACTGTATCTACTGTTGCTGTCACCCTTTCTTCAAAAGAGGCTAATGAAAAGTTATCTTGAAAAATAGTCTTTGATTTTGAGTTTTCTGAAACCTAACATACTTACTGCTCAAGAATACAGTACTTCCTAATATCCAAATACTCACTAATCAACAGCCACTTAGGTTTGGGAGAAATGTGGATATTAGTGACATGCTCAAACTATATTTACTACATTTTCTGTGTTTTTTACTTTTTCCCCAGTAGAAACCAAAATAAAAGTATCCTATCATATAAAGAGCAACTATACAAATGATATAAGAGTCATTTGAGAAAGAAGGTGGAATCTGGGCATTTTCAGGGAACTTTTAATCCCAATTTAAATTGGCCTGATATCTCTCTTTGGAAGAAAAGCTTTCATCTGAAACTTCCATGCAAATTTGAGTTGCAATGGGAAGCCAACTTATTAGTTGCTTTAATTTTATTTATTTTATCCCACTGTTATTTTTAAAAATTATTCAAGACACAAACATATCCAACACAACTTCCTCCTATTTTCCTCACAACAATAGCCCGTTATTGTATGGTAGGTAGGGCTGAGACAGAGCGTGACTGGCCTAAAGTCAGCCAGCTGGCTTTCATGGATAACATGAGACTTGAATTCAGTCTCCCACTTTTCGTGCTTTAACAACTAGACCAAACTAAATAAATAAAAATCAATTTAATGAATTATAAGAACAATAGGGGGGATGCCCTAGTATCTAGAGTGGTTTACATTTCTTAGAATACAAATAATCATTCATTGTCTTCCACTCTGGAATAAACTAAGCTAAACAACATTTCTCTGGAAAAATACCTATCTAAATTACATTTTTATCACCAAGGATTTAGCATATGTTAATTTTTAAATAAAAACTTATTCTTTAGCTTTTCAAAAACCATCAGGATGTCTCAACATTTTCTAGCACAGTTTTAATTTCCGTGCAACAAATGATGAATTCACTTTGATGACCATGTGCAAAGACAAATTACTTCCTCTATATCAGGGGTCTCCAACCTCGGCGGCGACTTTAAGTCTGGTGGACTTCAACTCCCAGAATTCCCCAGCTTGTCGAGGTTGGAGACTCCTGCTCTATATCACTAAAATATTGTTCATTCTGTGCATCTTATCATGTAGGATATTCCTGAGTATTGAGACAGTTGAGTGTTGTTGTTTTTTCCCAAAAGATTTCAATGAAGCAGTCCCTGAAACAGAAAGATTGGATTCTAAAGCTGTGAAAACTCGTTTGCAGCTTTCAGTGAAAAACAAAAGGTCACGGCCAATGCGAACAAGACTTGATGACAGCATCAGCTCCACAGATGGAGAAGACAGTCTTGAAAGAAAGGTGAGTATATTACTATGACAAACATTACTTGTTATTTTGCTCAACTTTCACTGTCATGGCAATACAGGTGGTCGTCATCTTACAATAGTTCATTTAGTGACTGTTTGAAGTCACAAAACCACTGAAAAAAAGTGACATGATAATTTTTATACTTACGACCGTTGCACCAATCCCCATGGTTACATGATCACAGAAAACAGATAATCAGAGTTGGAAGGGACCTTGTAGGTCATCTAGTCCAACCCCCTGCCCAAGCAGGAGCCCCTACACCATTTCTGACAAATGGCAGTCCAATCTCTTCTTGAAAGTCTCAAGTGATAGCGCTCCCACAACTTCCAGGGCAAGCTGTTCCATTGGTTAATTGTTCTCACTTTCAGAAAGTTTCTCCTTATTTCCAGGTTAAATCTCTCCTTGTTCAGTTTCTACCCATTATTCCTTATCTGGCCTACAGGTGCTTTAGAAAGTAGCTTGACCCCTTCCTTTCTGTGGCAGCCCCTCAAATATTGGAAGACTGCTATCATGTCTCCCCTGGTCCTTCTCTTTTCTAGACTAGCCATGCCCAGTTCCTGTAACCATTCTTTATATGTTTTAGTCTCCAATCCCCTAATCATCCTGGTTCCTCTTCTCTGCACTTTTTCTAGAGTCTTAACATCTTTTTTACAATGTAGTAATCAAAACTGGATGCAGTACTTTAGGTGTGGTCTTACTAAGGCTTTATCGAGTGGTATTAGTACCTCGCTTGATCTTGATTGTATCCCTCTGTGAATGCAATTTAGGATTGCATTAGCTTTTTTGGCTGCTGCTGCACACTGCTGCTTGGCACTGCTGCTCACAATTCAGATGCTTAGCAACTGATTCATATTTAAGATGGTTGAAGGGATGGTTGCTGGCTCAATGTTTTGGGACCTTCTGACAAACAAAGTCAATGGAGAAGCCAGAGTCACTTAATAACCGTGTTACTAACTTGAAAACTGCAGTAATTCATTTAACAACTGTATCAAGAAGGGTTATAAAATGGAGCAAAATGTTGTTAACTGTCTCGCTTAGCAACAGAAATAGCAATAGCAATAGCACTTAGACTTATATACTGCTTTATAGTGCTTTACAGCCCTCTCTAAATGGTTTACAGAGTCAGCATATTGCACACAACAATCTGGGTCCTCATTTTACCTACCTCGGAAGGATGTAAGGATGAGTCAGCCTTGAACCTGGTGAGATTCAAACTGCTAAATTGCAGGCAGCTGGTTGCAGTAGAAGTAGCTTACACTACTACACTCTAACCACTGCGCCACCAAGGCTCATGTTGGACTCCATTGTGGTCTTAAGTCAAGGATTACCTGAAGTGACTGAAATATGATGAAACTTTATATAGAAAAGTATTCCAATATGCATATGGAAAAATATTCCATTTTCTGTTTGAAGGTGAAACATACATTTCTTTGCAGTCATGCCAAGTTGTCTGAATTAAATTTATGTACATTGCAATATGCTTTTTTCCCTCCAGTCTTTGTAATATTATTAATTCTTATTAAATACTGCAAACAGGTAATTTAATAAGTAATTTTAAGGTGCACCAGTGCAAAAAAAGAAATGCAAATGCTGCAAAATAAAAAGTTAAAATAAAAGCAGACGTGGGCTGGAAAATATTCTTTAATAGTAATGGTTTTTAATTATTCAGAATAACTTGATTAGTTCCCAAATGCCTGAATCTGCTTCATAATCTCTTATACCAACACCCTGCATATAGTTATCATGGCCCCATATACATTACAATGTAATATACATTACATTATGGATTCCTCTCAGCCCATCTCATTAACATCAGGTGCTGGTACTTGTTTCCTCTCCCCTGTGGCTAGCAATGCTACATTTGTATTTGTACTGAAAACTAGCATAAAGATCAGGAAAATAGAGGAGGGGAGCGTTCCTTCTGCTCTTCTTTCTTTCAACATCCAAAGTTATGAAATCTTCCAACAAACAGAAATATCTGCCATGATGAAGATCTAATTAAATAACTGGCGTGGTGGCCTAGTGATGAAGGTACTTGCCTTCCATTTGGAAGGTTGAGAGTTCAATCCTATCTAGAAGCAGATGTTTCTCTCTTAAGATGCAAAGAAAAAATATTAGTTAAACTCTGCATGGTATCAGGATGGGCTTCTGGCCAGTAAGCAATCAGTTTGATCCCAATCACCCTGGTTCTACCCTGAATTAAGGGATTACAGAGTCAGAAAAAGGAATGAAATTCTTCCAAAATTCTTCCCCCAAGCAATCATAGTTTCTTTAACTTGTTCTTCCTCTAGTTTAGTTTCCAATAAATAACCATACAATTTTTAATCACCTTTTCACCAGTACCTGTCAAAATCTTATCTAAGTCAGTCAATTTGTCATAAAATCCTTCTGTTTTGGAATCTTCATCATACCTTGAGTGTATTTGTGCATATGAAAACCAATTCATCTTTATACCTTGTTGCTCTAGATTTTGCATCGATTTAAGTTCATCCTTTTCATCCAATATTTCCCCATATCTGTTTGTTCCTTCTTATATATTATAGGATAGGAAAATGCTTCAATGGTCGATAACCAAACTGGAATTTTCAAATAACATTGTCTTTTAATCTTCTCTGAATTTAACCACAAAGACTCCCGTATATGATGTCTTCTAAAATAGCCCTGTGTTTTAGTTCCCTTATACCATAGAAAAGCATGCCACCCCAACAGCAAATCATGTCCTTCTAGTGTCAACAATCTAGTATTTCTTAATGTTATCCATTCCTTAGCCCACATCAAGTTTGTAGCTTGGTAGTACAACTCCCAATTAGGCAAACCAAATCCTCCTCTAATTCTAGTGTCTTGCAAAAGTTTTAACTTTATTCTTGCTTTCTTACCTTCCCATATATATTTCAAGACAATTTTATTTAAATCTTCAAAATAGTCCTTTCCAAGCCTAATTGGTATTGTTTGAAACAGGTATAAAATTCTGGATAGAATATTCATCTTGATTGTTGAGATTCTCCCTATTAATGACAATTGTAGATTTTCCCATTTCGTCAAATCTAACGCTATCTGTTGTTTAAGTTTAATGTAATTGTTCTCTTTTAATGTACTATTTTGCTGTCAAATGTATCGCCAAGTACTTGACCTTGTTTGTGACTTGAATTTTCAATAGGTCTGCCAGTTCTTCTTTTTGTCTTAGTAGCATATTCTTTGTCAAGATCTTTGTTTTATCTTTATTTATTTTCAAACCAGCTACCTTACCATATGCCTCTATCTTTTCCAATAATTTTGGTGCTGTCTCTAAAGGATCTTCTAATATGAAAGCCAAATTGTCTGCAAAGGCTTGCAATTTAAATTCTTCTTTTTTAATTTTCATTCCTTTTATACTCTTATCATCTCTGATATTTCTATTCAACACTTCCAAAGTTAATACAAATAGCAAAGGTGATAGTGGACATCCTTGTCTTGTACCTTTTCTTATATTGATGGGATCTGTCAATTCTCCCTCTATCATTACCTTTGCCGTTTGCTTATGGTATATGGCTTCTATTGCTTGAATGAATTTTCTGGCAAAACCCATCTGTTCCAATAATAATAACATGAATCTCCAATTCACATTATCAAATGCCTTTTGTGCGTCTAAAAATATCAATGCCATTTGTTTTTCAGGGTGTGCCTCATAATATTCCAAAGTATCCAAAATTATTCTCATATTATCCATAATTTGTCTCTTTGGCAGAAATCCATTTTGGTCAGGGTGAATAAAGTTATTTAAGTATTTTTTAAGTCTTTCTGCCAAAATTGAAGCAAAAATTTTATAGTCTGCATTTAGTAAAGAAATAGGTCTATAGTTCTTAATTTGCAGTGGATCAGCCTCTTCTTTTGGAATAAGTGTAATATAGGCTTCTGACCATGTTTTAGGTATCTTCTTCTTTAACATAACTTCATTCATAACTTCTAGCAGTGGAAGGCTCAGCGATTCTTGTAATGTTTTATAAAATTCTGCCGGAAGTCCATCTGGACCTGGTGCCTTTCCATTATTTTGCTTCTTAAGTGCTTCAGTTAATTCCATCATTGTTATATTGCTTTCTAACATTTTTTCAGTCTCTTTAGGTATCTTAGGTAAATTAGTATTCTGTAAGTACTGTTTGACTCTTTCCTCATCAATATTCTCTTGCTTATATAGTTGTCCATAGAAGTCTCAAATAATTTCCTTTTTCTCTTTATTGCCATAGCAAACTTGACCTTGATCATCTATTAACTGCAATATTTTCTTTGATTCTTTCTCCTTTCTCAATTTATATGCTAACCATCTACCTGGTTTGTTTGCATCTTCAAAGTAGTTCTGTTTAGCACTTCTAATTTTCTGCTAATTCTTCTTTCTCTATTTGACCCATTTTGTGTTTAATTATGTCCAATTTTAGTTTAATGTCTTTTTCCTGTGGCGTTTTCTGTAGTTCTTTTTCAAGTCTTTTATGCTCATCTTCTAAAACTTTAGTGGCTTGCCTTTTCCTGATGTTCCTTTTCCTTGTATAGTCTATTATCAAGCCTCTGGCATATGCCTTCATTGTGTCCCAAACATTCTGAGTTGAAGTATCTTCTTTTTTATTTTCTCTAAAGAAGAAGGCCAATTCTTTCTCCATCCGCTGTGTGAAGTCTTTTTCCTTTAAAATAGTATTATTTCACGTCCATCTCGATCTTCTTTTTTGTCCTTTCCATTTAATTGTCACTGGATTGTGGTCTGCCCAAGTACTTGTTTCAATGTTTGCTTCTTGAATATTAGATATTAGTTCTGTTGAAATCCAAATCATATCTATTCTAGACCATGATAAATGTCTATTTGAGTAGAAAGTATATTGTTTGGTTTTAGCATTTTTTTCTCTCCATATATCTTTTAAGTTTATTTCATCTGTCATTTTAAAGAAGGATTTAGGAAGAGTCTTTCTATTTTGTTTTGTTATTGTTGCTGTATAGTCCAATTTATTGTCTACAATTCCATTGAAATC